AAATTGTCGATGATCCAACCTCTAATACTAGCGGTCTAGCGGCTTGGCAGCGTTTGATTTGGCGTCTACATCTTCCACCCAAATTAAATTATTTCTATGACGTTTATCACATCGGGCGCACCCTTTAGAGGAAACCTCCATCGTAGACATATTAATTCACATGTTAATTGTCCTAGATGCGGGTGTTGGGAATCAAATAACCATGTTTTCTTAGATTGTTGGTGGGTGAAGAACCTTTAGAAACGGTGTGGTAGGTGGGGGTGTGATCTCAAAATGGCAGGGACAAAATCTGAGGCTGAGGTTTTTTAGAGGATGATTGGATATAAAAACTTTTGGTTTTGTTTGAATTTTTTTGTTTGGTTTGGTTAGTTTTGAAAAAGTTGGTATGATTAGTTGTTAGTGGGTATATTAAAATAATATTTAAAATAAAATGAATAAAGTTGATTTGATGTAAAGGAGGAGAAAGAAGATTTGAAGTGATGGTTAGTTAAAATTATGTGAGTGGATGAATAGTGAATTTAGGTGATGTGGTGTGTAAGAATGATTGATTGATATTATTTAATTATATTGATAATATTGATGTTAGTGAGGTTGAATTAAAATTGAGTTAAAAAAAATAGTTGAGTTAAAAATATTTGAATTTTTTTAAAAAAAATGGTATCCAATCATGCTCTTAGCATCTCAGGGCTGCAATACGTCGGACTTCAAGTTTTTTGTTATGATTTTGTGACTCATTTGGCAGGACATAAATTCACTTCTGAAGGGTGGTCGTCTAGTGATATTGAATTGACGATTAAAAAAGTCTCTTGAGATGGGTGGAGGACTATGTCAAGGCCCAAACTTGCACTATTTTCAATTCGTAAAGGACCGATGAACTTGGGCTTGAAGAGAAAGAAAATAAATAGAGAATGATTGTTATCTTCAGTGTAGGGCGACAGTACGAGATTTTGAAATTGGTTTGGGAGGTTGGATAAAAAATTCAGAAGATCTGGTAAACGCAGTTTTTGCATCCCACATGTCAGGTTCACCCATTCCAACTTTAGCTGAGACTTTGTCCATTCGCTTTGGGTCATATATCGAATGATCCGCTTCACCCTTTTAAAGGCGTTTTCTCGAATATCCTGACATTCTTGGATTCATTAGATTGTGGGCTCTGTCAGCATACCATACGAATACACAATCATATAGCTCACGCCATTTTAAGTTGGCGGTGGAGTAAAAAAAACACGTTAATGTGGTCGGATTGTATTCCGGTTTTCTTTTCTCCTCTGTTCTGTAAGAATGTGAAGGTTTAGTGAGCTATGAAGCCATATATAATTAAAAGAAAGGAAGGAATACACCCTACCATGGTGATTTTCACCAAGTAATCTGACATTGGCCAGAGGATTTAATTGTTCGATCAATATCGTACCCATCTACATTGATCGCAGCTGATTGAACCGTTCCACCAATATAAGCGTGTGTAAGTGTATGTAATAACATAATTAAAACAATGATGTGATAAAATAATTAAAACAACTCATATATGCAGTGGCCATAGATAAGGTCAACTCACATCGTCTGCAAACTCCTTACTATTTAACCGTTCGATCAATATAGGCGTGTGTGTGTGTAAGTGCGTGTAATAAGATAATTAGAACAACGATGATGTGAAGTGTGTGTGTTATAAAATACTTAGAACAACTATGTGTTTGTAAGTGTGTAATATAATAAGATAATTAAAACAACTATGATGTGCAAGTGTGATAAAATAATTATAACTTCAACTTATGATCGATACATGGAGAGTCTACAAACGTACAGTTTATTTTTTTCATTTAGTATTAGTAAAGATCATTTGTCATTTTGCTTAATACACAGCACAAATGTCCGAAAAGAAAACAGTAGCATTACAATACTACAAACAATTGTCATGGCTCAAGTTAGAACTGCTTACACCTCTAATATACACGATACACGCACATAAACTTGTCGAACAAATTATATAAATACACTCGATCTTCACCATAAAAAGAATTAAAAAA